GACTTCTTCTGGAATCGCATGTTCTTGGAGAACTCCGTGAGACAAACGATTAGGTCAGGGAAAGCTCCCTGTGTAATGACCACACCGAACCGCGTGTTGTAAATTTGAGTGACATGTTCGAATGCCATGTTGACGATGCCCTCTTCTAGGTATTAGCATCCTCATCACATAGATCCTAGGCGATAAGAAACTTGCTTACCGTATGGCTCTCGGGCAGCGACTGTGAAGACGCCGAACATTGTTTTCCAGCCTGAGCGAATGTTATCTCCACGTGCCTGGATCATCTGTATCAGGCATCGAAGGATCATATCCTTCACAGTAACAGCATTACTATTGGCCATCACATGCTCAAACGGCTTGAGAAAGTCCTTTTGGAATTTGAAACCAGGAAGCTCTTCAATTTCCAGAAAACGCATCGAAAGTTGCCGAAGGGAATCCAGTGCAAAGAACACCACGGTAGTGTTGGTGTGGCATCCAACCTGATTGAAGTGCTGCCCAAGGACGTCCCAGATCTTCGACCACTCTATCCTGACTCTGGTCATGTTGTAATAGCTGATTTCAACAAGCTTCTGCAAGCTGTATGTGCGAGGGGACTCTGTCTGACCTGAAGATTGAATCTCCTGCCAACTCACTTCGCTTAAAGCGCGAACAAAGTCAATGATAGCCTCATGAGTGAGATTTGCAGTATTTGTAAAGATGCGGTCCACTCCGCGTATCATTTCGGCAGATCGGCTTTCCATAGCAACCTCAGAACGGAAAGCCGTAGGTCCGTTAACTGACCGCGGACGGGGAGGGCGTCTTGACGCCTGCATAGATTTGCGGGATCCATCAGATGGAGTTTGTGGTACAATACGGGCGCGTGATGGATCGGGTAGTGAACCTTCATCGACGCCATCAGTGAGAAGTTGAAGTCGGTCGAGCTGGCTGACACAGGTGAGGACTTCTCTCCAGGAACTCTTCAGGTTGTTCCCTTCGGTGAGCGCCACGTCGAGCAGCGCCTTCAAAGCCTCCACATTCTTTGGTACCATCTCCCTGACGTTGCCCAGATTTGTGAATTTGGCAAGGCCCGTTACGAATGCGACCCGGGGAGTCTCCAGATCGAAAGCGCAACTGATACGTATCGCCAGTTTCATTCCTTCCATGCAGAGCTTAATGGTTTCAAGATTCTGTGTGTCTTGCATGGGAGCAGACAATCCGGAGAGGAAAGACATCCAAGTCACGTTGAACATGGATCCAACATGCCGTACCGAAGTTGCTGGGATGAAGCGTGAGAGGGCCTCTCTAACGGCCGTCTTCCGCTGCGCTCTAATCAGACTCCGATAGAGCTGCTCCGTCTTATTGGCCATTTCTTCAGATGCTTGGGCATACTTTTCGCCTTGGATGTCCCTTCCAACCGTTGCGAAGACCTGTCCTGCCCTGGAAGCTAAGCCGCCTGTGGTGGTGGACGTGGGAATGCCCAGATTTGCAGCGTGCTCTCGTTCAGTGTCGAGCACAATCTCGTTGTTGGCGATCTCATCAAATATGGACCCCAGATACTCATCGGGCAAGTCTTGGTTATCGTTTATACCCCGATTGTTCTTGATGAAGTCCTCTTTAGTCATGCGGCGACCCTTGATCTTAGCGCTATGTTGATCTGTATTGAGCATGATGACCGAGTAAGCCAACACGTACGCAGTGTCTGCGTTGGCGAAGGCATTCGGGTTTTGAGTCACGTAGCGCTCGGCAAACTTGAGCATGAAACGATCTATCTTCTGGGCCTCCCCAGGCAATCGAAAGTGTTGCAGGAATTGACGAAGTGCATCCACAAAGCGTCGCTTAGAGAAGTCCATTTGGTCCACAAATGCATGCATAATGGCAATGTTCTCTGCATCACCTTCACCCAGATATTCTCCTATCATGGCCTTATCCAGTCGATCATTGCGAAACAGGAAACTTGCAATGTCCTCGGGCGAGTCCGAACGTATAAAGCCCTCTTGGATAAAAAGCTTGATACCCCGCTTGGCCTTGAAGTTGAACTGCTGAATTGCGTTCATCAGCGCGGTTTTCCTCTGCTTGACTTTCTCGATCTGGCTTGGATCGTCCTCTGCCACAGGTGTCGACCGACCAGTACTGCTATCGGTGCCCTCGACCCTTGGAGAGGATAAAAAGGTCGCAGCGTTGGTGTCTATCGACTCTCTGGAATTATCGATTGATTTCTGGGACAGCAGATTTGTAACCCCAGCGGCTGGGTCATCAATTCGTTGAGAGGCCCAGTTGTCAAGTGACTGTAGAATTTCCACTAAACATTCCAGCGACTGGTTCTTCAGGATATACTCAGATGGCACGTTTTGGGAAGTTGGCTGTTGAATACTGGCTATGTGGGCTGTCGTGAGGGTCGGAGGCAGAGTCCCGCTTTGATGCCAATCTGCGCCCACTTTTGATACCTTGACATGGTGTTCTTGATAATGCTGCTGTTGGACTGCGGAAACTGCGACAGGTACGCTCGAGTATCGTGAAACTTGTTCAATGATGCTGCAACAACAATCAATACTGCCCCAAAGAGATTGAAACACGACGTGATACAAACGTACTTTTGAAAGATATTCTCAAGCGCAGTGCGATCACAGTCATAATTGAGATATATCTCCACCAATGCACGAGGGTCATCGGCCAGTCTCTCCACAAGCTCCATGAAGTACTGCTTCTGAAAAGCAGGCGAGTTCCGTTTTTCGAGAATAGCCAGGTATATCTCTTTCAAGAAAACCTCAAGTTCTTTCTGTGAGGAGTTAGAAACCGTCAGGCAAAGAAGATAAGCACATGGACGAACCTTCATCATCACTCTCATATGCTTCAACATGAGCCAAAAGATTTCGCAGCAAACCTCGAAGACCCTGGGCACTGAGCTCGACCCGTTTCGACTCAGACTGAGGCACAAGTGGGGCCGAACAGCTTGTAGAAGCGTCATAGCATCGGAGCTGTTGGAGCTGTTCCTGATAGTTAGGAGCGGGGAGGTGAAGACCGCGACGTGGTTGTTGATGAGGTAATGAACGAGGTGCAAGGATAACAACTTGGACCTCATATTCTGAGATTTGAGATCTTGTTGCTGTTCGTGGCTGAGAATTTTATGGCTCAGCTTGCATAGAGCTCGAAATACCAGGAAAGCGTCTTTGATGTAAATCTCGTCCTCATCATCGTCGGTAGTCCCGTCGCCGTCTTCCTTTTCTTCCCCTGATGTGCTAGACAATGACTGCGTTCTTTTTTGACCAAGCTTGGCGCGGGTAACCATTGTCGGCGCATTATCCGCGACCGACGTGACATCCTTGCTTGACTCGAAACTTTGGAGAGTAAGCTTTTCTCCAGGCTCCTTCGCGACGGGTTGATCGGGTGCTACAATAGAGGCTGCATCAGATGCCTGATCCTGATCGGTTGGTAGGGTCACCTCAACCGTTTCGGCTGTCGCAGCGTCAGGTGTGTTCTCCTGTCCCTTTTCCCCTTCACGCAAACGTAATTCTTTCAGCTCAAGTCTCACACGGACCCTGTCGAACACTGTGCTGACCATCTGTGTCAGTGACCCTTGAGCAATCTGTTGGTTCTGATTAGACTTCGAGTAGATGAAGATGTTGTATATTTGGCGGACAGCCTTTAGGAGACCAGCTCCGTGTACCACAATCTTATCGTTCAGGACTGCCGCAAGAAGTGACTTGATAATTTGTTGCTGTATCTCAAGGGGAGTGGCTTCGTTCTCGAAGCAGTCACAGATGGCATCGATTGCCCGTTCGATGAGAGGAGTTTGTTCTGGCGTGGCCTCAGTTTCCGAGCCCTTGCGATCCTGAGATGATGGAAAGGCAAAGTAAGAGTAAGTTATGAGTTTCCCGATGCAGTCGAGCGCTGTGACTTGTAAGGGGATGCTGAAGCTTTTTGTCGCAAGCTGAAGAGGGCGAAATATAAGCTCCGGATCGATCGGCTGGCGGTCTGATTGCTTAACGTTCGCCAACGCGCTCTTGACGGCATCATCCAGTTCTTTGCTCTTCTTGGCTTCCTTGGACGCCCCAATTGTCTCGAGAGCGTTGACTATGAACACTGCAGAGCTGACAGGCACGGAGCGCTGAGTGGCATAAGTAGCAGTCGTTGATCTCGAGTCGGAGCGCAGTCGGGTATCTGGTGTAAGCTCAAACTGGGGTACAGCGCCGTCATCCTGCTTGTCGCCAGCAGAGTCTCCTGGAGGAGCCTCTGCCTGATCGTTCCCCGAACTAGCGACATCGTCTGCTTTTGATTCCCGCTGAGGGGAGCCGTGTTTCTCGGGACCTTCAGCATCAGCGGCGTCGCTCGGAGGACTCGGAGGTTTGTCCGCGGTCTCTGTTACTTCGGAGGAGTCTACTTTGATCTGTGGTGAATTGGAGTCTGTAACTTCCTCTATATCAATTTTCTGCCTCTGTGATTCGAGAGGAAGAGAAGGCTTGGAGTTTTCCCCGATAACATCTTCAGACTCAGCAGTCGTTGAGGTATTGACAGTATCCTCTTTGTTGTCTCCCTGCGGGAGCACCGCAGATGTCCGATTGGGCTCCTGCGAAGAGCCATTCTCAACATCCGCCATTTATGCGAAACTCCGAGAGGAGCATTCAATAACCGAAATGAAAAATACACATGGAACGTAGTATCGGACTAAGGAAAAAAGAATGACGGAAGCAGATAGAAACCGTGTGCCGGGGTATCGTGGAGCTGATGCGGCTGCGTGTCTTTCTTCCCGCAGGCGGAACAAATATACGGCGACCGCTGCGTGCCAAAGATGCGGCGCTGGGCTTACGTAACTCGGAGAAGGCCGTCCTGGAGAAATCCGGCGACAACTATTCCGATCGCTCACCGGAAGCTCAACAGAAAAGTTCCAGGAGCTGCATCCCCAACTCTCTGCTACAGGCCCTACCACTTGCCAGACTCATCCCCCGGCCCCATCTCCATCTTATCTTCTCTTCTCTCTTGTGCCGCGGCCTTTTAATTGAATCATAGCTACAGCATTTGGCACCATGGTTGCCTCTGCTGTCCGAATGCGCATTCCCAGCGCCATGTTGTCGAAAGGCGGCCTCTGCGTGAGGCGGCCTCAGGTTATTCACAGATTCAAGGACGCTGTCCAGTATGGTGCACCTTGGATATTTCCTGGTCAATCTGTATTGACAATGATACTAATCAAATTTTCCTGATCTATAGACCTCAATTGCCTGCCTTATCCGCCCTCTCCCGTTTCTATGCCTCCAAGTGTATGTCGTCTCGTTTTTTCCTCGTCTCCATCACATTCGCTTATTGAAGACTTGATCCTAACCATGCGCCTCTACAGCCTTCCCCCCTCACACCATCATCAGCATGCCTGCCCTCTCGCCCACAATGTCCGCAGGAAACATTGGAGCTTGGCAGAAGAAGGCCGGCGATTCCCTATCGCCGGGTGATGTTCTCGTGGAAATCGAGACCGATAAGGCACAGATGGACTTTGAATTCCAAGAGGAGGGTGTCTTGGCCAAGGTTCTGAAGGAGACTGGTGAGAAGGATGTGGCTGTCGGCACTGTATGTATTGACTGAAAAATTTTCCTTGATCCACTGAGTCCCATCGCTAATGCGCAAACTCAGCCTATCGCCGTCCTTGTGGAGGAAGGAACAGATGTCGCCCCCTTTGAGAGCTTTACTCTGGAAGACGCCGGTGGTGATAAGGGAGCTGCTCCCGCCAAGGAGAGCAAGGAGGAGCCCAAGGCTGAGGCTGCACCAGCCCCCTCGACGCCCGAGCCTGCACCCGCCGCTCAGGAACCTGAGACATCTACTGAGAAGCTCCAGCCTAGTCTTGACCGGGAGCCCAACATCAGCCCTGCTGCCAAGGCATTGGCCCTGGAGAAGGGTATTCCGATCAAGGCTCTCAAGGGTACTGGACGCGGTGGTCAGATCACCAAGGAAGATGTGGAGAAGTACAAGCCTAGCGTTTCCGCCGCCGCCGCCCCTACATATGAAGACATCCCTCTCACATCTATGCGCAAGACCATTGCTACCCGCCTGCAGCAGTCGATGAGAGAGAACCCTCACTTCTTCGTTTCGACCACTCTGTCCGTTACCAAGCTACTGAAGCTCCGCCAGGCTCTCAACGCTTCTGCTGAGGGCAAATACAAGCTCTCCGTCAACGACTTCCTTGTCAAGGCTTGTGCCGCCGCTCTTCTGAAGGTTCCTGCGGTCAACTCGAGCTGGCGCGAGGAGAATGGCCAAGTTGTCATCCGCCAGCACAACACCGTTGATATTAGTGTTGCCGTTGCCACTCCTAATGGTCTTATTACTCCCGTTGTCAAGAACGTACATGGTCTTGGCCTTTCCAGCATCTCTAACCAGATCAAGGATCTCGGTAAGCGCGCTCGGGAGAACAAGCTCAAGCCTGAGGAGTACCAGGGTGGTACTTTTACCATCAGCAACATGGGCATGAACCCTGCTATTGAGCGGTTCACCGCTGTCATCAACCCCCCTCAGGCTGGTATTTTGGCCGTTGGCACCACCCGCAAGGTTGCAGTTCCGGTTGAGACTGAGGAGGGTACATCTGTTGAGTGGGACGACCAGATTATCGTGACTGGCAGCTTCGACCACAAGGTTGTCGATGGTGCTGTTGGTGCTGAATGGATCAAGGAACTGAAGAAGATTGTTGAGAACCCCCTTGAGCTTCTTCTGTGAATGAAGTTTGACCTATCAAAGTTCCGAGATACCGAATGTATCATTTGAGATCGGACTTCTTTTATGGTCTCATGTAATATGTACCCAAAAATACCTACTATAGTTGATTCTGACCATTTCTGGTCCACTTGAGTACGATTCTAGCATTTCAATATCGATTTCTTTTGTTACTTCAGAAACTTTAAGCCCATGCACTGGCCTACTTCTATTGTGTAAGACAACAACGACTCAGGCGATCCAGAACTCGCTAAGGTCTGGTTTCAGTCCAGATTGGCGATGGTGCGTTCTTAGGATGATCTGAGGATGGTTCACAGTGCGTTTAACCCCTCGCAACCATCGATAACCAGATTGACCAGGACTGCTGCTGCAACCCTCCGCTGTCATTAGGTCAGTTGACGCGACAACCACAGACTGACCAAGTCGCCCGCGAAGACAGATTTCCATTTCACTTCGAACTTCCGTGCAACTTGGTAAATATTATCGAATGACGGTAAATTTCAAAGTGACAAATTTGGATTGGGGTTATCTAAACAAGTGATGGGCCCATTCATGATGCCTTGGCAGCGTTTATCATGGACCATGTGCGCAGTGCCCACTCCGCTCAGGGAGTGATGTCATACTTGTGAGCCAGTGCTAGGGGCCCTTGCATTCTGCATAAATAGAAGTGGTCATCACCTGCCCAAATTCTCTTTCTAGCATCCCACACCTTGTCAGTTTACGCACTATCTTCGATTTCTCAATCTCTCAACATCACCTTATTTCCTGTAAGTGATGTTGTACCATATTACGTGGGCGACCTTGGAGCAGCCGCTCCGCGATATGCCGCCCATTGTTCGCCATTACGACTTTTGATACGGAGCACTGACTGGTAATAGACCTTTCCTCCATCACCTCCAGCCCTTTGTACTACAGAAAACCTGCAAACATGTCTTACGCAGAAGCCGCGGCCAAAGGCCCTAAGCAAACACCAGAGGAGGTATGTGCCTTACCCGCAGTTTCCCCTGCTTCCCATGAGAATACTGTATCTCGAAAGGCGATCTGACGGACCGGCTCTAATGTAGGCGTAAGTTGCTATCTGGAAACTAGCCAACTTCCTGCGGGTTATTGACTAACTCTCCACAACACAGTCGCGCCCCTAACCCACCACGAACCTATCTGAGTGAAACAGCGGAGAGCACGGCCTCCCTAGTTGACGTCGACTCCCCGCATGTGGTTTCAGTGGACTCGGACTTCCTCAACCAAGATGTGAAGACCACTACTCAGGCTGATCGCTTAGAAAGAGAGGCACAGGAGAAAGAGGAGCGGAAAGAGCAGAGAAAGGCGGAGAAGGCGGAAGCGAAGGCTACGCGCGCCGGCCATGTCGCCAAGCGCAACCCTGTCTTCCTCGGGAATGCCGTGCTGTACGCGCTTGTCGGTGCCGCTCTCGGATATGGCGCATACAGGAAGCATGCTGAAGGCAAGCTGTCGTGGAAGCTTGTTGGAACATGGACTGGTATCGTCGGAGCCTTCAGTACGGTCGATTACTTTGTCAGCAAGTGAGTTTCCAACTTTCTTCTGGACAGGCATCCTGCGACAAGGTACAGAAGGGAATTTGGGCTAACGAATTGAATTTAGGTGGCTGCTACAAAACAAGTACCCTCCTAACTAGGTTTGATACATCCTGGATATGATATGAGCAGCGGCCCTGTGCTTCTCGAGTTCATTTCCATATATGGAGTTATGATCGGGTGAACCCAGCGGTTTTACATGAATTCCAGGGGGAATGGAGTTGGCGATTCTTTTTTCGTCTTATTGTAACTTATCCGAAGATAATAAACCCACTCGTCTCTCACGTTTGAAGTCAAACCTAATATATATCCTTTAGTTGTCTCTATCAGTTCTGGCAATTCAGCAACAAGGTGGATAAAAGTAGTATAGTAATATAGTCACTGAAAATCCCCGTCGCATCGTATTCAGCAAATAAAATCATAGATAAACCCCGGCATTATACTGACAACCGCAAGGTCTAGATGTTGCCTAGTGATCAAGTGTCCACCTTTCAAGTAGTGACAGCTCATATGTCAGAGGCGGTCAACAACGTCAGATTCGCATCCGCTGCAAGAACATGTGGCCTCGGCCTTCCACAAGAATTATTGGCAACGTTCGGTGGATTTGCAGTATAACTTCCTCCTCGACACCGATTAACTGTCCCTGTTGACCTTAATTTCGAACATACGTCTGGAGAGCATTGCGTCTTTTTGCCCGATCATATGGAGCATATCCTGTTCTTCTCGTGAAACTATACACAAACAAACAACTGGCTCTCTTCGATAGCTTCTGCAAAAGCAAATATGGTGTGTGAATCCCGCCATGGTCATTGATCGAAGCGCTTTATTTGATGACTGACATATGACTTCCACACTTAATCACAGAACTCCCTTTTCAATTCAGCACTCAAGCAGTCTTCTGCTATCCGCCGCGATCTGGACACATTCTCTCAGTCGCCCGCAACAACATCTGCAGCTTTACAAGGTACGGCTCGAAGACATGCGCTTCCACCCCAGATCCGGTACAGGGCTACAAGTTCAGCGCTGAGCGTTTCTTTATTAGTCTATGTGACATGCTAATGCGCGGATAATCAGGCCAGATTGCAGCTTCCTTGGCGTCGCTATCACGGACTATCGATGACTATTCGGCCTTGTCCAAGAAGGAACTGATACCTGAGAAGCAAGAAAAGGCGTTTGAAAGAGTCAAGAATTTTCGCGCCGAGCTTGCGGATTATAGGACACACTTTGATCAACTCCGAAAGGAGCGTGAAGAAGCTGTAAGCTCATCCGAGTCAAGCCCCTCCCCTTGGTACATGTCCTGGCAATCGCTAACATAATGCACTGCTATATAGCAATCGGTGACAAATCGCAACGAGCTGCTTGGCCGACGACCACACCACGCAGCGACTCCCGAGAACCCGTACGCCCAGTCTTCCCTCCCGCAATCTTCGCCTTTCGCAAACCCTTCATCATCCCGCTCAGGTCTCAGCTTCGGAGCTTCACCAGCGGATTACACCAGGGAGACGCATGCGCTCCGAGAGCAATCCTTCTTTGCCAACACGAATTCGCAACTTGATGAATTTCTCGATAGAGGCCGAGCTGTTCTAGCAGACCTTGGGCAACAACGCGAGGTGCTGAAAGGCACGCAGCGCCGGCTATACAGTGTTGCGAATACCCTGGGTGTGAGTGGTGACACGATTCGAAAAGTCCAACGAAGAGCAAAGCAGGACAAGTGGATATTTTGGGGTGGTGTTCTCATTTTCTTCCTCTTCTGCTGGTTGGTATTACACTTTTTGAGGTGAATTCGATGTGTCTATATACTCATTTCTTTGGGACTGTCCCCCCTGCGTCATGCATTTTTCTTGCTTCGGATGGCTTTAAAAGCGCAGGCGTTCTGGTCTACCTCGATCTTGTTTGCTTCCCATTTATGTTGTCGGGTTGCGCGCTGTCGTTCTCAAGTTCTCGAGTTTCATCTGGAGTCAGTTCATCTCAAGAATGACGTACAAAGGAGAGATTATCCGTTCTCGTCCATACAGAGGATGCGCAATAGAACTGAAATTGCACAAACAACACTACCTTAGTAGGGTAGGAACGGATGGAAAGGGCGGAAGGGAGCATGTAGTCGAGTTCCTACAGGCCGCTGCTGACGGGCCAATCTCCAGTTCGCATTGCAACATGTCGGGCCGCTTTCTGATCTTAGACAGGTAATTCCTTTCTCCCGGTACTACCGCTTGAAAGACTGAGGTATCCAGTGAGTCGCTTGAATGGATAATCAAACACGTTTACTTGCAATTGATCTCACAGGACTTGCTTGAGGTAACCCGGTCCTAGTATATTTGGTCAGTTGTTTAGGTTCTCCAGAGAACGGATAAATAACCCACACAAGAGACCAATCAGTGAGTGGGACGATCAGGTTGATGTTTGTCAATGACAGGGCAACAACAAGTTAGTAAGACAATATCTGCCACACAGGTCCTTTATCGTATAGAGATAGCTATCATGAAGCGCAAAGACGTTTCCCCAGAAAATTCAAGGCACTTATCTAGTTCAATATTCATGTGACGCACGAAGAAGTTCCGCAACACGCTGTGGAGATGGTCGGAAACGGAGCGAATTAGCCGCCCCAAATCCTTCTCACCGGCAAGTTAACCGTCACCTCTTCCTCCTTCCTTTTCTTTCTTCCTTCTCTTCCCCATCCAGATCATCTCCATCCTTCTCTCTACTCAATTTATTTTCTTTCGCGGATAGATCAAATTCCGTCTTCGGATCATAGACAAAATGTTCGCTGCTCGTCAGTCCTTCAACCTCCTCCAGAAGCGGGCCTTCTCTGCCTCTGCCAGCCAGGTACGTAGACCCCATCTCCCATCGCTTGGCTCGGTACCTCGGAGCTTTGCGAATGTGCTAACCATGTCCATTTTCATATTTAGGCCTCCAAGGTCGCTGTCCTCGGCGCTGCTGGTGGCATTGGCCAGCCTCTCTCTCTCCTGCTCAAGCTCAACCCCCGTGTTTCTCAGCTTGCCCTCTATGATATCCGCGGTGGCCCTGGTACGTCTCCGGACATCCGAAACTTGCGTCGCCAAAATTCCAAAATTCCAGTATATGCTGACTCGATGGCCTTTTCACAGGTGTCGCTGCTGATCTGAGCCACATCAACACCAACAGCACCGTTACTGGCTACGACCCTACTCCCTCTGGTCTCCGCGATGCTCTCAAGGGCTCTGAGATCGTCCTCATCCCTGCCGGTGTTCCTCGCAAGCCCGGCATGACCCGTGACGGTATGTGCATTGGCCTTCTCTATGCAAGGACAATTACTGACGCTGCCATTGGCAGACCTCTTCAACACCAACGCCTCTATTGTTCGTGACCTCGCCAAGGCTGCTGCTGAGGCTTCCCCGGAGGCCAACATCCTGGTTATCTCCAACCCCGTACGTATCCCGAGCAATCATATCTAGATCAGCAGCACTAATGTCACGGCTAGGTTAACTCCACCGTCCCCATTGTCGCCGAGGTGTTCAAGTCCAAGGGCGTCTACAACCCCAAGCGTCTCTTCGGTGTCACCACCCTCGATGTCGTCCGTGCCTCCCGCTTCATCTCCCAGATCAAGAAGACCGACCCCGCCAAGGAGGCCGTCCCCGTTGTTGGTGGCCACTCCGGTGTCACCATCGTTCCTCTGCTCTCCCAGTCCAACCACCCCGATATTGAGGGCGAGACCCGCGACGCGCTCGTCAACCGCATCCAGTTCGGTGGTGATGAGGTCGTCAAGGCCAAGGACGGTGCCGGTTCCGCTACCCTCTCCATGGCCATGGCCGGTGCTCGCTTCGCCGAGTCCCTCCTGAAGGCCGCTCAGGGCGAGAAGGGTGTCATCGAGCCCACCTTCGTTGAGAGCCCTCTCTACAAGGACCAGGGTGTTGACTTCTTCGCCTCCCGTGTCGAGCTCGGCCCCAACGGTGTTGAGAAGATCCTCGAAGTTGGCAAGGTCAACGCTTACGAGGAGAAGCTCATCCAGGCTGCCCTCACTGATCTCAAGAAGAACATTCAGAAGGGTCGTGACTTCGTCGCTCAGAACCCTTAAATGTCTTTCCCAATTAAGTGTGAATTATTCTGCAGCTACGTTCGTCCCTGTATAACAGTCACTTGTGTACTTTGTCATTAGCCTATTATTCCCGCCTTTTCTATATGCTTCGCATCCCGCATCGACTTTGATACCGGATGAATGCGGCTGCAGAGTTTGAAGCATTTCTCTTCCCTTGACGAGAATTTGATGACTGGCGAGAATTTGATGGGAAAGCAGATGGCATGTATTTCCTATAAATGAAAATTTCAATTCATTCCTGAATTCGTTCTTCGCTCGTATTTTTGCCATATAGTTTCCCCGAGCAAGACATCTGCCATCGGAAGGATTGGCTCGGTCTCGCTAGATCTTCTCAGTATCAGGCATAACTCCTCACTGGGACGAATAACTGTTGTATCATTCGCCAATCTTGGCCGTATCGTAAAAAACATCGCAGAAAAAAAACAAAAGCGAGAATGTTCAGATGACGCTTGAGCGAGATAGAATGAAACCGAAACGATCAGAAACTGTCTCTGGAGCAAAAAGCAAGGGTATTCCTGAACGACCGTATCACCAGAGAAGCAAGTAGAGACGCAAGTAGAGAAGTAAGGAGAGAAGCAAGTACACAAGCAAGGAGGGAAGGAAATTCATCAGCATAGAGAACCCGAAGCGGATTGTCACGTTACGTATTACGTATAGCTTCGCATGGCGTCCATGTAGCCAGTCCCGCCGCGAAGGTCATGGTCGAAAGTCTCGGCAACCTCAAGGACACGTTTGATGTGCTGCATTGACAAGGGAGTCTGTTCGTTGACTGCTAGCGCTTGAGCCGTGCGGACGGAGTTCTTGATCTACAAGGAGTGTCAGCAACCGTCGATACATGCTTGCATGACGAGGAGGAAGCAAGGGGAGTTACCTGACGGCCGTTCAGATTGTGACGTGCCAGCGCATCAAAGTCCTTGTCTGTGAATTTCGCAGTCTGCACGCCTTCTTTAGCCTGGACTTTTTCCAGGAACATTTTCCAGACGCTTCGCTTTGCCTTGGTGGTAAGGTCTCCGTATCGCAGTGCGACATGGATACGAGATTGGAACGCGTCATCGAAGGTTTCCACGCGGTTGGTGGTCAAGAAGAGTATGCCTTGGAAGTATTCAAGGAGCCGGAGGAAGATGCTCACAAGGGCGTTGCGGTGGATGTCCTGGATTGTGCGCTTCTCGAGGAAAATATCGGCCTCATCCAGTAGCAGGACTGCGCCCCATGAGTGGGCGATGTCCAAAATCTTGTTGAGTTCCGCCTCCAAAGTCCTTGAGTCGGTACCGAGTTCCCCGGCACTGACCATGTACAGAGGCCGTTTTAGCAACTCGGCAATACCTTCGGCAGTCAGGGTCTTGCCCGTGCCGGGTGGTCCATGTAGCACGGCGACAAGCCCTTTACCCTTGCCCTGAATGACATCGTCGATGTTCTGAGCGGCGCGGAAGGTATGTGACTCGACTAGGGCCTTGACGATCGACTTTTGGTTGTCCGGAAGGACAAGAGAGTCAAATGCGTCCTCGTTCCAGTCGATGTCGCTGATTCCGGAGATGCTGAACTCCAGCCACAACTTCTCACTGAAGGCGAAGCCCAGGACGACCGGACTTGCAATGAGCAACTCCTCTTCTGTGAACTCACGATCAGAGGGGTCCTGCACGTCGTCCATCTTCTCTTTTTGAATCACATTCCCATTCTCATCCAGCTCCACTTCCACGACACGAGGTCTACCGTCTTTGTCTTGCACGACCTTGTACACGATTTTGGGGTTATCAGAGTCTCGACTTGCGTGTTGTTGCTGCTCGACATCCGAATCAGACATTCCGCATCTGCATCCGTCATCGCTCGCATCGTCATCTGACGCACCTAGAATATCAGGGTCCTTGGGACGCAGAGTACTGATTGGGTAGTTGGGGTTGATGCGACGATGGATAGCGGGGTCAATCATTACTCGACCATTGATGTTGACTTTGATGACTGTCCGCTTCTTCTTGTAGAAGGCCATTCCCTTGTGGAAGCGGTAATTCATACCGCCAAGCGCCACAAATTTCTTGCCGCGCTCGATCAGCTTGGCCTTGACCTCCTCAGCCTCCCTGTGGTACTTGAGTGGATAACATCCGAGGCTCGTGATCTTGCGAACGCCCTTGAAGAATTCTACTTCAGCAGCCATTGTTCCCATGCCGAATGACTTGCCGTCGTACTCCAAGTAGCGGCCCTCGATGCTGTACCATTGACCTTTCATGAAAGAGGATTCCTTGGTGGCGTATTCAATCTTGAAGGCACGTGGTTCGTCCTGATTGCCGTAAGTCGATGTATAGGCGATGGTGTTCGGTTTGTATAGTGCCCACAGCAGATCGAAGGTGATCATGTTCGCTTCCAGCAAAGGATACAGAGTCTTTTTCGTCTCTGCATAGTCGGTGTCCAGATACTTGATGAGAACCTTGAGTTGCGCTGCTTTGAGATCCGCCAGCTTCTTGGCCTTTTTCTTCGTTTCTTTCTTGGCCTGCTGCTTCAGCTCCTTCATGTATGCGCGAGTCTCCTCGAGATACAGGAAGAGCATGTTTGGGTCGACAACGGCAGTCTCCTGTACCAAGCTCACACCCTTGACACCATCCATGATCTTAGCCAGAGCGTCCCGCAAGTGTTTGCTCTTGATATCGACGACAGTTTCAAGATACTTGTTCTCCCAGTCAAACTTGCGCCGAACCGTAAAAATGTACTGATCCCACTCATTCGCACCGGTATCATCAACAGTCTCGGTGAGCTTGTAATTATGAATCGTATTATCCCACACTAAGAGGGAAGAAAAATGTCAGCACGTGCCGCCCTCATACAGGGGGACGAGTTACAATCACTCACATTGATCAACCCGCTTGAACGCCATTTTGGAAGCAGCTTTCAATTTGTGCTTAGACCTCTGCAGGTTGCCCTTGTGACCATCTGCCAGGCCGTCGGCCGCGTGTCTCTTTCCGCGAGCTCTGCCCCAGCGTCCATCACCTAGTTTGCGTCCGTCGCCAATCTTGAGACTCAGAGCCGCCATTTCTTTTGCCAGTAGCAAAGCCAGTTCCTCCGAATTGGCATCAACATCCTCTTCCGGTTGATCCTCGGAGGAATCTCCCTTGGATCGAAGCTTCTTTGCCGACCTCTTCGCCTGGAGCCTAGTCAAAAGCCTTCTCAGCGTTTTCTCATCCAGGGGGTCGTCATCTTCGTCAATATCATCGCTGGTAGTGTCTGTATCCGAAGCTACGTGCTGGTGGGATCGTGACTTCCTCTTCCGGTTACCCTTAAGGACCTTCTTGGCTTTGTTCTTTGACCGGTTTCTTCGGTTCTTTCGAGATGTCTCTGATTCGCATGAGCTGGACGACGTCTCGTCATCCCCCGAGCCAGAATCGCTGACGCTACAGCTGCCAGAGGATGAAGTTGACTCCGAGGTCGTATTCTCGTCCGGCGTTGAGATCGATTTATGGCTCTTTTTCTTGGAATCACGTTTTCGGCCGGCGGCGTCCGACTCTTTCCCTGAATGTTTTTTGCATGCGATTTTGACGGTAGCATTTTCCGTTACAGACACAGATGGCTTTGCCTCTGTCTTGGCTCCATTATTGTCGATGGAAGGCTCTACCTCATGTTTGGTGTCCAATCCAGCATTACTGTTGGCGTTGGGATCCGCCATCGTAGTGGACTGTTTAGCTTGTGCCTCTTTAATTTGGGGCGGGTTCCGCAGTGGAGCTTCGGAGGGCGGCGTGGTAGAGTGGGTGAACGGGCCGGAGCTTGGATCGGTCGGGGTGTCGGGCACTGAGATCAATGACGGGGAGCTTGTGGAGCTAGGGACAACACTGGGGTCAGTTGACATTATAGATGATTAAATCGTAGAGCTGTTGTTATCCGCCTTCGCAGTACGATCAGCACGATCGAAGAAGAAAAGGGAACAGCTTCAAAATAAAAGTAAAGAATTAAGAAGGACAGCGATCCAGAAGGGGATAGTGAGCTAGAAATACTTTGAAGAAAATAATGAATCTCTGACGTTCGCCAGGAAATCAAGACGAATGTCCTTAGAACACGGAGCGCCTTGCGTCCTTGGGCTTTTAAAGATTGGCTGACAGGACAGAAAGGAGCTCTCAGCTTTGTGGCGGTGAGAATGACTGGTCCTTACGGCTTCAGGACGGGTTGATATAGAGCTGTCCTGAAGCGTGGGTTGGAAGTGACAAAGCAGCTTCAAGACAAGGCGGAACCGAACTTGGAGCTGGATGACGAGTGAAAGAAACTAAATAAGAGAAGATACAGTCAACACAAAGAGCTCTAGAGACAATGTCTAGACAGCAGATGACCGGACAATGATCTGAAAAAGAAGCCAAAGAGAGGAGAAATTAATAACTACTAGGTACCTATCTTAGTATCTACTTTGTACCTGAAGTGTTGGCGATGACTGGGAGTGGGTGCCTGGTGAGCCTAGTCGTGGCCTGGGGCTGCAGCTTTGTCTCTAGGCTGATCGCAGCCTGTTACTGACTCACTGCGAGGCCTTTAGAAATGGACCAGTTGTCAACCTCACCTGCGTTCAGCCCCACGGAATCATTGCAGAATGAATGCACTTGATTTGTCCCGATTCCAAGGGAGAGTGAGAGTGAAATCTTACGGACTCATTCTCAGTGGACAGTCCTCCAACAAACCAGTCTCGTGGACCTGTAATCAAGCAAACTACAGGAATTGAGCTCGCTGACCAAATGACTTTCAATACAGTGGCACTGTCAAGAAACGAAGCGCTTGCTGCCTGTCTACCTGCCTAATCGCCTCCCCATCGCACCATATCAACGCGCCTCGAAGTCATGCCTCATCAGTCGTCACCGACTTTTTCTCGTTGGTTCTAAGCGACCCAACATTATCCATTATCCCGGTAGCGTGGGAGAGAACAGCAGGGACAACAAGGCAAAGGACTAGACCATCTGCAGCTGTCGATCCTTGGGTTACACAAGGACTCGATTTCGTGGGTCTTCACACTTAAGAATTGAGTCTTGAAAGACCATGCAAGCAGCTACTCCGTAGTTCACAATGAAACCAAGACTACAGAGTGGATTCCATCTAGACTGTCGTCCCATGTACAGGAAGTAGATAGGCTGCACGAGTAGACTGGAGCTGGTAGTGGGTTTGGGTCCTCGTGATGGTACTTTTGCTCACTTAGGGTAGACCCATCCTGGCCCCGTACATACTGTATTGCCGCAGACTTTTGTGCTCCAGTACCAAGAACAATACGTGGTCTGTGATTTCGCACCGACCTTGTTATTATCAATGGACGTCTGGAGGTAGATGATCAAAACATAAACGACGAGTGTGGACCATCGCAATCATATTATGGAACCTTCTCCCATTGTCAAAGCTGCAGCCTCACTTTGAACTGAGATGATCGTCACCGAATGGAAACAAGGAATTCTCGACGGGCAAATTGAAATTCGACCAGGATTATTCAACACTACAGTCGCCAAATTATCTGTAGATTACTTGATCGCATCTCCCGCTTGCTGTAAGGTCACAGAATGTGATAGCTGTGTTGTGGCGGTTCCAGGATCAACGCCATGGCAGTTTCAACGAACGAGACCAGAAAGGATTCGTATTCTAAATAAGCTGCAGGAAGCAAGTAATTAAAGTGAGATATATAGGTAAAACAGACGTTGGATCGCATATCACTGCACACATAGTCAACTGGGACGAGATGCCTGTTACTGAGTGTCAACATACGCTAATACATAACAATATGTTGACGAACTGGGAGTCTGAGCGGTACTGAAGATTGCTTCTCAAGAAGATGTTTCTTGGCTTCTGATCAGCTGTTTTTCTAGAGCTTGGTGAGGCCGCCAGTGTACAAAATGTGGGAAAGAAGCATCAAAGTTGCCAAATTTGGGAATGAACTTAGTCCTGAAATACAACCTTTTAAGCAATTTGTATATGCTATCCGCTATGCTGTTTAGACGGTATGGCTTATTGAACTACAGGGCTCATTGAGAACAAATCCATGGAAACACATTGCACACAGATAGAACTCTCCGTATTTAGGTTGATTGATGAACACCGAATTCTCTCACACTTGCCAGAGTTTCACACGGTCTAGTGAATGAAACCAACATAGACATGGAGAGGCCGGTGTTATACTCCTGCTGCCCTGAACTCACATAAATTCTAATTCCTCCTCCCTGTTCTTCTCTTCACATCCTCCTCATTGTCAATCCACACACCTATCCTCCGCAGTCACAGGTCTCTGTTCGAGACTCCTCTACTGATAGCAAATCAGTTCCTTCAGAGAATGAACCTCGACACATCCACCCTCATCAACCCCACGGGACCAGCGCTCACAGTTTCTACCTTCACCCCCATCAACACCGACATGGACGTCGCGGAGATCAAGGTCGAGAACGACCAGTCAAACAACGTGCTTCCCGGAGCCGCAGAGGTAAGCAGTACAGACGCCTTCTAAAGATGCAGCAACCTAATACCGCATAGGAACCACAGCCAACCTCGGCCCCAGCAACCGCAACACCTCGCAAGCGAGGCCGGAAGAAGGCCGCAGAGGGCGACGCAGACGCAGACGCAGACAGTACCGAGACCCCAACCAAGAAGGGAAAAACTTCGCCCAAGAAAGGCTTGGGTCCTATTCCAGCCTCTTTGGAATCAGCCGGGTTGGCTGACAAGATGGTTCTGCGGATGAGAGACGAGGAAGGCCGTAGCTGGTCTGAGATCACCAGTGTCTGGACGAAAATGACCGGTATCAAGGTTGAGGGGAGCACGCTGCGGAAGCGGTACACCGCCATGAAGGCGAACTTCGTCTCCATCAGTGCAGAAGATGTAAGTGAACTGTGCAGCTCTAGCTTGATGTTGTGTCCTGTGGATAGAAGACTGAATGCGTATGTGCTTGTCTGCCTTTAGGAAGCCAGAATTCTCAAGGTGAAGAAAGAAGTCGAGGAGAAGTTCGAGCAGGAGAAATGGCATAAGATCGCCGAGGGTGTTGCTGCGGATGGAGGGAACAGTTACCCTGCGAATGCGATTCAGAAGAAGTGCAAAGAGCTGAACAAGAGGGCTCAAGCTGCAGCTGCAGTTGAGACCGAGGACTGAGAAATCGCTCTTATGTCTGGAAAGCAAGATGAATCAGGACTTACGAAGCGGATTTTTCTTTTTACTTCACTCGGACCGAGAGGTTCCAAAGGTGTCATGGGCGTACAGATACGGAGAATCGAGTTGAACTTGTATTTCGGGAATCTCGGTAACCAGTGACCAGAATGGAAAGAATAGGAAGATGAAACCCATCATGGTAGTTCGCGGCCCAGCCCAATGTAATCACCATATACACCAGATACCCCAGGCAATAAATCATTCGACCAAGAAGTATCTATTCTATGCCAGAGAAAGACAGAAGGATCAGGTAGCCAGGCCAATCACGAGTAAGAAAATAAGCTGCAAAAGTTTAACATCCTTCCAGAGTCTCACAGGACACTCACTTGCTGGCGCCCGTCATGCATTTGCCAGCCAAGATCGCCATTTCTTGGATCATTCGTAGATTCATCACTATTCGTGTGTGTCGTTATGCTGGGCCGAATCTTCGCTCCGACAAATCCGCGTCGATCCCGCCCTGTCCGCCCACGTCCGAGCCAGTTGTGTTTCAGTGCTTTGCTCAGAGTCTCAATCTTCTCTTGCGCTTCATCACCTGTCTGCACACTGGCCAGGACACTGAGGCATTGTAGCATCCGCCCGACCGTCTCAGTAATGAGTTGGGAAGTATCTGCCGTATGTGAGGCCCTGTGAATGACGGTTGCGCGTTGATTTGGAGATGAGAAGGACTGGAAAATAAGTTGGTCCGGATTGGACGAGGTGTTTGATGCAGCACGGCTGCGATTGCTCATCGAGTCTGAGGAGTAACTGCCCGCCGCATTGAGGAGCGTAGATGATTGAGAATTGTAGCTGCCAAAGCCAGCATCAAGAGAAGCGGCAGTGGCAGGTCGGCCGCTATTGTTACTGCTTTTTGTTGTGATGCTGAGAGCCGTCGAGCCCACATTGATGCTATCAAGACTCAAGCGAGAAAATGTAGCCTTCAAGCCTTCATAACGTTTTAGAATGACCATGTCACGGAAAGCCACCAGGACCAGGTGTCGAACTTCGAGCTCATTCTCAAAGTCCTTGCCGGTCGGTACGGAGTTCCAGAAATCCTTTGCTTCCCGTAGATTCATTACTGAACCAGCGCCTCGAAACTCTAGATCGAGAGGCAAAAATACAGCCTGAATAAATGGAAGAATGGTGCCAAAAACCAATAGCCATATCTGCACCAAATGAGGGACCAGTTTCTCGTCAGGCACTCCGTTCAGCGTATGATTTAACGAGGCACATCCTGTCTCGAGTAACTCTCGTAAATCGTCGACAATGGCGGTTGGCGTGCGCTTCTGCACGCAGCGTTGAATATGGATAAGGACCAACTTGTTCAGGTCCTCAATTGCTATACGAACGTCCTCACCATCGAATATAACCAACAACTTCGCCTTCAAAAAATCCCAAGCATCATCCGGAGTCATATTGTGGAGCCCGAAACCTGACAAAGTCTCCCGAAGGGCAGCTTCGGGCAAGAGACCTGTCGAGTTTCCAAGGGACGACGGCCCCGAAAAGACAGCCGGCGTAGCGCCACTAACCACCAAGTCTTGCTCTATTTCTTCCCTCAGCTTCTCCTCTTTCTTCTTTTCTCGAAGCGCCCGACCACCGTGCAAGAGGTCCAACCCGCCAACAGTTTTGCTGAATGTAGTCGACCCTGCGTTAGGAGACGCTGGAGTAAAAGAATAAAGAGACTGTGGTGCGTTGGGATCAGACGGTTTGGAATTGCTAGAC